CTGTCCAGGCCTTAGTACTGTGAGCGGCTGCTTGACGGTCTGAGGGTACTGTGCCTTCTCCCTTCAGGTCGAGAGAGATGGGATGGCCCATCCCAGCACGTGGAGCAGCGGACGCCCAACTGTACTAGTGGCCTTGAGTCTTGCAGGCGGATTTGTCTTTGGACTCGGGCAGGCGAATCGCGTAAGAGGCGGACTTCCGCTATCCCAATCGACCTTAACTCGTGCAGGCGAGCCGATCGTTAGGCGAACCTAGAATCGAATACACTTAGCATCTACGCGGCTCAGGCCCAAGCTAGAGAACTAAACATACGAGTTCTTCTTGCAGGCAAATTTCCAGTAAGTCCATAGAGGTATTTTTTACCGTCTATATGTAGGCGTTGAAAATTACCTAGGTCTCCACGAGTAGCTCAAAGCTAAGAGAAGACGATAAACATCACTATCCAAGTTACAGAAGCTTGATTGACATCGAAGAACGCTTAAAGTGAATCGACGAACTACGTGAAGCAACGTAATTTCAGAATAACGAGGATACGAACTGATCGGGAGCCCCGCGTCGCTTACAAAAGGGGAAATGCCTCTCATATCCTAGTTTATTCCATAATGACCCAATCATTGGAGCTTATAGATCTCCTCGCTGGCTTTCCAACGTACTTTTAATCACTCAAATCCGAGTTCGGATGAAGAAGTTACGGAGGAAATGGACAAGCGTGCAAAATGGACTATCTCAGCCTAAGCTAAGACACCCCGAAGTGTCTCGGCCCAACGGAAACACCCCAAGATGTCTCAGCACGGTGGGAGACACCCTAAGGTGTCTCGGCCCGCCAAGGGTGTCTCCATTTAGGCAGAGACACCCAAGGGTGTCTCGGCCCGGGCAGAGACACCCAAGGGTGTCTCCATTCTCGTTGAGACACCCAAGGGTGTCCGTAGCCCTAAAAAGTTATTTTTTTCGCTGTTATGTAGTTTTAACCGTCTGGATTCTCTGGAGCTTATAAATACAGCCCTAGGGTCCTTATTTTTTTAGATCTGGAAATTCTCGAGCGTTGGTGAAGCCCTGCCGGATTGAAGATCAAAAGTGCACGAATTTCAGAGAGGAGGAGGAGTAGAGATCTGATCGAGTTCGTCAGCATAAAGAAAGGGAGCTCGTCAGATCTGCAGTTCTTCGGGTTCGTTCCTTAAGATTATCCTGTTGCGATAATCTTAAGAAGAGCAATTATCTCACCGTTGCCGAGATAAGTGCTACGATTTCTTGATTCCTTCGCGAATCAACGAAGCTCTGCCCGATATTTCAGCAATCAGATCAGATTGACGGTGGTCCACGGATATCAACATCCCCGTCACAGGCCAAGATCCCACGCAAGCAGCGGGCGATAAACACCCGTTGCGTTTGTTTGAAGAGAATTATACTTTTGTTTTGTTTTCATTGTGTAAAAGTCTTATAAAAAGACTAATTTTTGTTTTCATTGTAAACGTCTGAAGTTTGTAATGAACATCGCAATGAATCAAACAATTTTCTTCGAAAACAGTGATTTATGAATGTTTCTGAATTTTGAGTTTATTTCCTTCACTTCTCCATTTGAAATGAAAACAACTTAGTTCTTTAAAAGGATATATCTGAACTTTCTGATAGTTTCTCCATACATAACTCCTTGTATTTTTTTACTTTATAAATAAATATTATTAACATTAAATATAAATATTTATACATTATAATCAATTAATGCTAACCTATTATATTGATTTTGTAACAATATTAAGCATTTCCTCTTTTCTTTGCCAAATTTCAGCTTTTTTTTGTGATTTGAACTTTTGAGGGTGTGTTTTCCAATTTTTAAACTTTGATGGTATTTTATAAAAAATTTAAATTTTAAGTTGGACACTTATAATTTTTATGTTTTATGTATTGGTGATAAGTTTTTAAATGTTAGAATATTTCTCATAAATCTGAAAATTTAAAGGTATTTTTATAATTACTAAAATTTTGGGTTGTTTTTTAAATTTTTTAAATTTTTAGCAATCTGCTGATAATTTCTAAATTTGATGTGTACAAGTTATAAGTTTTAAAATTTTAGAACTTTTTAATAATTTTTTACTTTTGAGAGAGTTTTTGTAATTTTTGTAACTTTGAGGTTATTTTTTACTAATTTTAAATTTCTATGTGACTAATGGTAATCTCTGGAATCCATCTATGTTGTTTCTAAGTTTTAAAATCTCTGAATTTTAGAATGTTTTTTTGTAATTTAAACATGGCTAAATGGCACATATGTATCCTATTGTTTTGCTCTTGTAGTAGTTATATACCCTAAGTTACAAAACATAGCAAAAAAATACCCTAAGTTGGTAACTGTTTAAATTTAGGTAATAGTGTTAAAAATACATGAAAGGATAATAATGCCCCTCCTTAGGAATTAACCCCCCCCCCCCAAAACCCCCCCAAACATAGTGAAAGCTCTTATTTTCTACTGTTACCCATATTAAAGAGGAAGAAGAAGTTGGAGGTCACGAAACGAAGAAGAAGATGATGAAAATAATCTAATTTACAGGGGGAGGTAGGTAATACAGTAAATAATATAATAAATAAGGGTAAGAAGTATTCAAGTTGGTCATAGGTCCAACGCGTGGGAATATTCCAGAGAATATTCTCACAACTGGTTAATAGAAGATACCAACTTGTAAATTTTTACCAACTCAGGGTATTTTTTTTGCTATATTTTGTAACTTAGGGTATATAGCTTGTTCAAGAGCGAAACACATAGGGTATATAAATATAATTTAGCCTTTAAACTTTTGAGGTTGTTTCTACAATTTTTAAAATATTGAGGATGTTAATTACAAATTTTAAACTTTTAGATATCATCTTTGTTTTTAAGTTTTAAAAAGCCAAGGCGTTTTGTGTAATTTTAAACTTTTAAGGCTATTATATGCAATTTTTGAAACTTTTGGGTTTTTTATAATACTTCATGTATTATAATATGTTATTTACGTATAATTTCTTAATCTTATTTTTTCTATATATTTGAGCTGTAGGTAGTTCATATGGAGTTAATATATGATATAATTAGTATTTGGATAGATTAAGATTTAAGTGATATATTCAAAATAACTTTTTTTTAATTGTTGACCTATAGATAATTCACGTGGAATTAGATAAGATATGATTAAAATTAGAATAAATTAGGATAATAATATAATATTTAAAAAAAAGCTAAGGGTAATACTGACCATATAAAGATTTTTCCGAACTTGTACTTTTAAAGGGAGTATATATATATATATATATATATATATATATATATATATATATATATATGAGAAATATGGGCATGCTTGGTACCAAGCATAAAAAGTTATGTTTGGTAGTGAGGTGTCAAATTCCCCTACACTCATTCAAATGCGGGAACAAATTCACATAGGTAGTGAGTGGATGAGGATGTGACACATCACTACCAAGCACAAAAATTGTGCTTAGTCGTCTATTTTGATAAACATTAATATTCTCCACATAAAAAAATTTCAACTTTAATTGTTATACGTAAGATTTTGACTATTTTTTTTTGATATTTTTACATTAAGGTTACAAATTAACTTATCAAAGTTGATAAATTTATTGACCTGGGAGGAATTTTTTCAAAGTTAGTATTTGGGATAGTTTTGCTAATGTGGAGTTTGATGTGTAGTTCAACAAATATAAATTAGTTAAGGGGTATATATTTAAAAAAATCCTTATATGAGGGAAATAAACCCTTACAAAATTAAGAGGATTATAAGAGGTTTTCTGGTTTTGTGAGATGCCTTATATTTAGGGAAGCAAAACAACTATCTTATCCTGTCCACAATCGTAAGCGGATATGATAACCAATATTGAAACCAATGAAATATATATACATAAATGGTTTCATTTTTTTCATCGGATATTCATACAAAGGACAAATTTTCTAAACCAACCTATTTCGACTTTTATTCCCAAAAAACAACCCCATTCAAAAATAATTGCAAAAACCGACCTGGTTTCAGCCTCAGTGCTGAAACCAGGTCGGTTTTTTAAAAAAACTCTCCGAAACTTCACGGGAGTTGAACTCCCGTGAAGTTTCGTAGTTCAAAAAACTTCACGGGAGTTCAACTCCCGTGAAGTTTCGGAGAGTTTTTTTCAAAAACCGACCTGGTTTCAGCGCTGAGGCTGAAACCAGGTCGGTTTCTCTAAATAAATGTGAAACGGGTCTTTTTTTGGGAATAAAAGTCCAAATAGGTTGGTTTTGAAAATTTGTCCTTCATACAAATATTGCTTCAATTTTTAGCTACGTATTCAAATATGGATTCAGGATATCATTTGATTCATTTCCGATGTAGGTACAGTTATTTTTGACTTTTTTCTTTTCTCGAAAACAGTTGCATTTTGGGAAAATGCTTATTTTTTGGCTTATATGGATTGTGCTTTATTGAGGTAATTACTTATGCATTTGACTTATTTATGGTCGAATTTATGTTACATTAATATTTTATTAATGGTAACTAAGAAACTTTTGCCCTTTGAGTTATGCACTTGGACTATGACTATTTGAGAAAATAATTATCTCTTTTATGGAATAATTGAATTGAATCATGTTGGTTGTATTAGATGTCATATAATACTTTAAAAAAATAGTTGTAGATAATATATTTCAGTTTTCAAATCATGTTTTATCTACTTGGGCCAAAATAGATCAATACATATGTGATATCCTCTTATATATGATGTATAGTTGTCTGCCAAGTATCTGATCATATCTACAATTGCATCCACATCCCTTTCCCTAGTACCTGAACTATATCCGTTTATTTTATTAATTATTATTATTATTATTATTTGCAGATATGCATACGACTTCTTCCTTTTAACCGAATGTGAACATATTGTATATGTTTTTAGAAAACGGGTACAAATATAATAAGTCTCATACCAAACTGGTACCCGATCTGTTTGCACCCCTTGCTGTAATCTATGAACAAGAGACAGCCGCCAGGCCACGAGTCCCTTTGGGTGCGGCCCGCAGGAAGTACCACCACGAGACCCGACTACTGCTCACTATCTACTCCTCTTCGTCATCTCAATTGAAATTTGAGAGAGAGAGAGAGAGAGAGAGAGAGAGAGAATGGCATGGAGATTGCTACTATCTACCAGCTACATCAAACCGTTCCGTCTTCTTCCTCCTCCTCCTCCTCATCAAATCCCCTCTCCAATTCTCAATATAAACAATACCCAATTTCACTATAACAATAGCAACAAAACCAATAGCCGGGCATTGAACTTGAGAGGCCCAATTCAACGCCGGGCCCAAGATAAGAACAGCGCCGGCAGCGGTGGAGTCTCGGATGAGCAAGCCGAAGTAGTTAGAAGGGCTCAGCAGGTGGGCCTTTGGGCCGCAGAGGCCGCTTACATTCTTTGGCTTTTCCTTCTTCCTTATGCTCCTGTATGTATCTGACCCCTTTCATTTTTTCCTATTTTTTTTTGTTTTTATTTTTAATTAATTTATGAAAATTTCCCCGTCATTGAGAGGTAGACATGGGTCTTTAAGATCAAATGCCTTGTTTTTTTGGTACGCGGGAATGGATGGAAATGGAATGATCATTCCCATTAGGCATGGCTAACGGGTTTATTCGTCCCGTATCTCGTACGAATCCAGATTCATCAGGTTGTGTATTTGTATGAGGTGAATTCATTTGCTTGGTCACGTGACCCGTCTCGTCACGAGATGAGACGAGTCTCATTTGTCTGTCATAGCATCTCCAACCCTACTCTCCAAATTCCACTCTTCAAATTAGAATATCCAAATTAGAATATTATAGGAATATTCCAATTTAAAGAGTGGAATTTAGAGAGTTGCTCCAACCCACACTCTCTAAATATATTTTTTATTTATTTTGTCAAATAAAGCCATATAAATTAATAATGTTAGATATATTTTATATTAATAATTTTATTTTTAATAATTTATCTGGGAAAAAATTATAACATTAGAAAGGTATCGACGATAGCTTTAAAATGAACCCAATATTAATAATGCAATACAACATATTAAAAAAATAAAATCTGAAATAACAATAACAAAGCATACATCGATAGAACAATGAAGCAAACATAAACCTCTAATACAACATACCATAGGTCGCAATCATAAACCTCAAACATAAAATATGATAACAGACAATTAAAATTCCTTCAGGTCATTATATAAATTAATCTTAGTTTCATTTTAAAGATCTCAACGAGACCTTTCCAAATATATAATGATTTCAAATATTAGATTAATAAATTTTAACTATATTTACTTAAAATTAAACATCTAATTTAAATTACTAAGAATTATGGCGAAGTGGTAATTTTCAAGAAATTAAATAGTTAAAAGTGTCAAAATTGTAAATAATGAAAGTTGAATAGTAATTTAGAGAGGATTCACTCTCCAAATTTGGAGGGATCCCCATTTTGGAGAGTGGTTGGAGATGACCTCAGGGTACAGGACAAGCTGCCGCAAAAGACTTTTTTTGGGGGAGGGGGGGGCGGTTAAGATTTGCAGGGGGTGTTGGTTCATCTACTACGAGAATGAATAGCGCATTAGGAAAATAGTGTTTTCTATGGATTCCTTCTTAGGGGCTGTTTGGTTCGTTTCCTATATACAGGAAAATGCAATTCCATGTAAAGAAACACAAGTTTTGAGTTTTCTAACTTTTTCAAGAAGTAAATTATTTTGGTTTGGTTCGGACATAAAATTTGGTGGGAAACCATTGTATTGACTTTTCTTGTGTTTGGTTTGCATGGAAAAAAAAAGAAAACTTTGTTGATTTGATATTTCTCACTTTTCTTCTGTTTGGTTGGTTTTGAAGTGTGTANATTATGATCACCATGATAAGATTACCCCCCACTATAGACAAATTTATTCATGGGAGATAATCTTAATCATTTAAAAGTGTGAATGTAACATGAACAAATTATAATATCTCGAATTCATTGTAAATATCTATTTGTCTTAACAAAATCATATGAAACCTGAAATAACATGAATCAATTGCTATGAACTGCGTACCTGATTTGACTTGAAATATACCTGTTTGAGATGAAAAAAATCACACGAAACCTGTTTTCCAAGAAAAAAATAAACGAGACCTGTAATAATATGATTATTCATAAATTTATGAAATACGTACCTGAATTAGCCAAAAATTCTTATGAAACCTATAAAAAAACATATAAACAACCTGATTATATGTAAAAGTCAAAGATCGAAACAAAAATTGGAACAACCACAAACAACCACATGTATATGCAAATTATGGCTGTGAGCTTAGAACTTGTTTAATATCATCATCGTTAGCCATCCAGTGCAATATCAACAGATATTTCAGATTGCTAATCTTAGAAAAACTGACAATCATCATAGCCTAAATTGAGCACCCACAAACAGTATCAAAATTAACAAATCTTACCGAACACCTGAACACTAAAGTGAACACAAAACTGAACGCATGTAATTAGCATCAGGAAACACAGCTGAAGGAAAATGAATCAGGAAAACTGAACATTACTGATCAGGAAACACTAACCAACAATGAATCAAGAAACACCAAAACAGTCTGCCCAATAATCTCACCAAATATGAACCAACCAGGAAACACCAACCAATAACCAACCAACAACACCAACCAACCAACCAACTACACCAACCAACAACACCAACCAACAACACCAACCAACAATCCAGAGCACATATAATCAGCAACCAACCAACCAACCAATAACATCAACCAACCAACAACACTAACAAAAAATGTCTGCCCAAAACAGTCTCAAGAAAATACCAAGGGGCTAAACACAAACAGTGCACAAAAACTGGTCATATGTACACAAATTCTTATGAAACCTATAAAAAATATAACAAGCTGATTATATGTAAAAATCAAAGATCAAAATGAAAATTAGAACACCCCCAAAGAGCCACATGTATATGCAAATTATGACTGTGGGCTCAGAACTTGTTCAATAGCATCATTGTCAGCCATCTAGTGCAATATCAATAGATATTACAGGTTGCTAATCTCAGAAAAACTGACAATCATCATAGCCTAAATTGAACACCCACAAATAGTATAAAAATCAACAAATCTTGCCGAACACTTGAACACTAAAGTGAACACAAAACTGAACACATGTATTCAACATCAGGAAACATAGTAAATTAACTAGCCTTCTACCATTCTTGATTATCTAAAATTGCAAATTAATGACCCAATGAGAGGTATTTATTCCATAATTTAGCATTTTTAGCATGTACGACACAGAATAATGACGAATTTCAGATCTCAACATCCAGGCGACGAAGTAATTTCAGAAGACAGTGACGAACACAAACAGTAACTTTGAAAGATATTTCAGATCTAGAGTTTATTGAAGTTTATACCTCAATTTCAGCGACGCAAAAGCCGACGAGAGAAATCCAGGAGAAAGACGAAGATGGCGAACAAGAAGACGGCGAACAAGAAATTGCGGGAGATTTATGGCGGGAGAGAGGCGAGGAGGTAACCCTAGCGTCGCGAAAAAAATCACCGAGAGAATCAAGTGGGCACTTGTCAGAGGCGGTTAGGGTTTTCCTCGATTTCTCTCGGTTCGGGAAGGAAATCGGGGAGAGAAAAAAATCTGAGGTGGCGGCGTTTTCAGCGGCGTTTCTCTTTTACAACCCTAGAGAGCCAAAGCGACGAAAAGAAATGAGAGAATAAAAAAATCCAAGGTGTAGGTGGTGTCAGGCCCACAAATGGTTTTCCTTGGACCTTTTAAGCAAACCAAACAGCCCCTTAATCTACAAAAATTTTAAGGATAATTTTTTGTTATCATAGAATGCTTTGAAATCCCTTTTTTTTACCTTTTATGTTTGTTCCATAACATGAAAATATAGAATCCAATTTTATAGAAACCCTTCAATTCCTATTCTTTGTTTGGTTTGGAATGAATTTTTTTTGGGATAAATGGATGACAACACCATAGATAAACTTACCACTCACTAGTGGACAAAATATGAATAAGTAAGAAGTTAGGGTAATCTTATCCGTTTGCCAAAATTCAAAACCGAAAAAATCATGACTCCAACGGCTAGTTCTAAGGCCTTAGAGGCTATAAATTGGATTGAGGGCTCATGGTGCTAATGTATCCCTCATTCTTACTGTCATATCAAACTCTCATGGTTGGCAAGTTTCATCTTCTCCATCAATATGATATCAAAAGAATGCCCTCAAAATTTTAAAGTTTGGTGCGATTGCAATCTCCAAACACCCATGAAAGTATGCAAAGTATGGTAAAATAAGGGGAGGTATTATTGAGGGTGTGCAAAATACCCAAATCAAGAATGCAAATTTTTTAAATGGGCTCACGAAGGAGGAGAAATAAGTAACCAAGGAAAATCAATTTGTTAAAGAAAACAAGTTTGGAGATAAATATTTTTTAAAATCAAAGAGGCTGAAGAAAAAATTGAAGCTTGTCGAAAAACAACTCTTAGCTTGGATTTTTTTTTGCAATTTTAGTAGTGATATTTTGTATTATTTTAATTATTGTAAACCGCATGTCATATACTTGTACTTACAAAAACTATTGATATTGTAACGAAAAAATTTATTAGAATTGAGTAAACTATCATTACAAATCTAGTTGATATTATATGGCTCAGAAATAAGTCATTTTGTCAAAATTGAATGCCACACCTACAACTTATAGGTTTATTGTGTAGAAAACGACGTTGAATTGTTCAAAGTGTTGAAAAACGTGAAAATTCAGTAGCCTGAGTGTGGTGCGTGCCACACCCAGGTGTGACAGAAGTTGTCTGCTACAATTCAAGGGTGTGATGCGTACCACACCCGGGTATGATAGAAGCTGTCTGCTACAATTAAGGGGGGTGATGCATACCACACCCGGGGTGTGGCAGATGCTTTTTTTGATTCCTAACCTGTTTTGGATTGTGTTTTGTTATAAATAAAAATACGTCGTTTTAGGGTTTAGGAAAAGAGATTACCAGAGAATTAACATTGTTTTGAGCACTTTGAGAGGGAGATATTGTGAGGGAGTTGAGATCTTTGGTTAGGGTTATATTTGAGAGTTTGTGTGAGTTGTAACTCGTTGTAATTCTCCTTCATTTAGTGAAATCTCTCCATCCTCTTCCCGTGGACGTAAACAATTGCCGAACCACGTATATCTCTGTGTTTGTGTGATTTTGACCGTTATTTTGGTGGATTGTACTCGTGTTTGGTTTTGGTTCTTCTCTCATCGCTCGTCGACTCGTTTGGTTTGCGAGCACGCTTCCGCACGACACGCGATAAGTGGTGTCAGAGCTCAGATTTTTAGATCTAGGGTTTTGCATTTGGTGGAGGAAGCTTCGCTATTGGAAGCTTGGTTCTTAGAGATCTAGGCTTCGATGGAGATGGCATTGTAGAG